CTGGTTCTGCTCTACAAGATCATTCATTTCATAAATCCTTAATGAGGACTGACTACATGCCTGCCACTAGGTGAGGTTGGGAATACAGCAGTGAACAACACTTAAGACTTAGAGTTTAGTACTAATCAGTTTATACCTATAGATATTTCTTCCCTGTGTATAGATAACACTGATGCAAACAAGCCAATGAAAGTACTGAGTACTGGAAGGGATGAAGGATGAAGGTTGGTCCAGGTGGTGGAGGAGATCTACAAGTAGGAATAGAAACTTGGTGGCACATTAACTGAGAAGCTGCATATGGGTGTCAGTTATTAACAGGGTTGACACTGCAAGGCACCTCCTTTTAGAACTTGAAGTTTCTCCAAGCACTAGCTTTTCCTCTTGGACAGTGTTAGGGATTAAATTGGGTGCCCTTCAAATTCATGCTGCAGTCCTTTAGGGAAGTAATTAAGTTTAAATAAAGTCGTAAAGGTGGGGCCCTAATCTGATAGGATTGCTGTCCTTATCAGAAGAGGAAGAGACAGCAGAGATCTCTCCCTTTCCATGTAATCACAGAGGAAAAGCCATGTAAGAACACAGTGAGAAGGCAGTTGTCTACAAGCCAGGAAGAAAGACCTCACCAGAAACCAACCCTGGCACCATAATCTTGGACTTCCAGTCTCCAGAACTGTGAGAAAATAAAATTCTGTTGTTTAAGTAACACATTCTGTGATATTTTGTTATGGCAGTTTGAGCTAACTAATATAGACAGCCATCATGATATGATTCATTCATTCAAAAGAGGTTGACCGAGAATCACCTACTATGTGTCTAGCGCTGTGACCAAAACAGACAAAATCTCTGCATTTGGGGAGTTTACACTCTACTGGAGAGAGACAGACAATATACAGAATGCGTAAGTAAAATATGTAATATATATAGTGAATGGTGATAAATGATATGGAGAAAAATAAAGCAGAGAAAGAGGGATAAGGAGTACCAGGGGGCAGGAATAAGATACAAGAGGGGTTTGAAAATATAATGAATAAACATAATTTCTATTTAAAAAATATATTTTATTTCTCTATGCTGAGAATAAAGAGGGAGAGCAGTGGGAGTTCCCTGGTGGCCTAATGGTTAGGATTTGGTGCTTTCACTGCAGAGGCCAGGGTTCGGTCCCTGGTCGGGGAAGCATCCCACATGCCACTCGGTGTGGCCAAAATACACACACACACACACACACACACACACACACATACACACACACAAGAGGGAGAGCAGTTAGGGGTCAATTGTAATCATCAAAACAAAATATGATCACCTTGAACCAGGATGATAGTGCTGGGAATGATAAGAAAATGTCAGATTTTGGATTTTGAAGGCAGAGCCATCCAGATTAAATTTAGATAGAAAAAGAAAAGAGTGAAGGATGACTTCAAGGTTATTGGCCTAAGTAACTGGAACGATAAGAGTTGTCATTAATTGAGATGGGGAAGACAATGGAAAGGAGATGGTACATGAAGATCAAGAGTTTAGTTGTGGGCATGAGTTCCACAAGACTGTCATCCAAGTGGAGATGCTAAGTAGACATTAGATACATGAGTCTGGGGTTCAGAGGAGCTGCCTGGATTGTACTGTACATGGTAGGTAAAAATTTGGGGGAGTCTTCAATGCATATATGGTATTAAAATCACTAAAGTCTGGAGAAAATTAAGGATACAAGATTGAGTTCTGAGATTCCAGTAATAAGAGATTGGGGAAATGAAGAATGAGCAAAGAAGGCAGAGAAGCAATTCAAGTCAGTTCTCTCAAGTCAGAACATGCAGTCTTGAAGCCAAAACGAGATACGTATCAAGCAGAAGTGGTGAGGTCCTATGAAAAGGAGTTAGAATCAGTGGACTGGAGGTTCTAGCAGGGCTGAAGAATTACTGGAGTCAGGGCATTATAGCAAGGTAGAAGGAATTTATTTAGGTAGATGCAGTAAGAATTTGGGGAGCTTGAAACTGAGTTGATGGAGGGTTGTAGTTAGTTCTTGATTATGACAAAGTGTAGGTGTGAGCATGGGAATGACTGGCTGAAGTGTGGAGGACAAGGTACAACTTCCAGGACATTACAGATGAGGGGTAAATGATCTGAGAGTCCAGAGTCTTGGAATGTAGGTATTCAAAGCACCAAAATGTGGCTAGTATTTGAAGAGTGTGATAGCAATCCAGTAGTTAAAGTCATCCAGAATGAGGGGTATAAACTGTGAAGTGGTGGGTGGTATAGTTTGATGACACTACATAAAAAGCTGGGGTTCTAAAGAAAGATTGGAAAGAGAGTGGTCTGGAAGCAGCATGAGGAGCAAAGATGACTCAGCCCATTTCCAGGGCCCATGGTAGAAGGGGGTGGGAAAGGAAACAGCTGTCACTTTAGAGGGACCAAAGAGAGAGTCTTCAGTGGGGGTCAGATTTCCATTAGAGCAAAAAGGTGAACCTTCTGAAGAAAATCTTCAGAAGAATTTGAGTGTTTTATTGATGACTGATACTAAAGTTCCAGAAGGCATTGGGAGGGTGTCAAGGGTCAGAAAATTGGAGAGTGTACAGAGCCATATGTGGATTTGATTCTAGGGCTTGAAGGGTGACTTGGGAATCCTAGATATTCTCAAGTGTCTAACATTACAGGAATGGAGGGCATAAAAAGAATTATCCAGATGGTGGGAGACTGGGAAGGACAAGTGGTTGGAAGGAGGCATAGTCTTTATAGAAGCCTGTGGAAGAATTCTTTGTCCCTCCCTTTCACTCCTCCCAGGGGAGGCCTGAAGGCTGGGGAGGGTTAGTCTTACGTGGAATGCGTGCAGTGGAAATATATCCTGTAATTTTGGAGATTTTAAAATATTGAAGTATTTTGAAGTTATTGAAGTTATTTACAATGTTGTGTTAGTTTCTGGTATACAGCAAAGTGATTCAGTTTATATGTATTCTTTTTCATATTCTTTTCCATTGGGGTTTATTATAGGATATTGAATCTAGTTCTCTGTGATATACAGTAGGACTTTGTTGTTTATGTGTTTTATATATAGTAACTTGTATCTGCTAAACCCAAACTCCTAATTTATCCCTCCCCCACCCCCTATCCCCTTTGGTAATCATAAATTTGTTTTCTATATCTGTGAGTCTGTTTCTCTTTTGTAAATAGGTTCATTTTGTGCCATATTTGAGATTCCACATATAAATAATATCATATGGTATTCATCCTTCTCTTTCTGACTTACTTCACTTCGTATGATAATGTCTAGGTCAATCCATGTTGCTGCAAATGGCATTATTTCATTCTTTTTAATGGCTGAGTAATATTCCATTGTGTATACATACCATACCTTCTTTATCCATTCATCTGTCAATGGACACTTAGGTTGCTTCCACATCTTGGCTATTGTAAATAGTGCTGCTATGAACATTGGGGTGCATGTATCTTTTTGAATTATAGTTTTGTCTGGATATATGCCCAGGAGTGGGATTGCTGGATCATATAGCAACTCCATTCTTAGTTTTTTAAGGAACCTCCATACTGTTCTCCATAGTGGCTGCACCAATTTACATTCCCACCAATAGTGTTAGGAGGGTTCCCTTTTCTCCACACCCTCTCCAGCATTTGTTATTTGTAGACTTTCTAATGATGACCATTCTGACCTGTGTGAGGTGGTACCTCATTGTAGTTTTGATTTTCATTTCTCTAATAATTAGTGATGTTGAACATCTTTTCATGTGCCTGTTGGCCATCTATATGCCTTCTTTGGAGAAATGTCTATTTAGGTCTTCTCATTTTTTTATTGGCTTGTTTGATTTTTTGTCATTGAGTTGTATGAGCTGTTTGCATATTTTGGAAATTAATTTTTGAGATTTAAATGTCAAATTTTACTCGGCTTACTGATATTTAGAATACAAACTTTATTTCTCTCTCACACATATTTCTGATACTTATTCTAAGCATTACATGCCCACAAGCAGCTCTTCAGTGTTTCCTGGCTAAGGTTTTTCTTCCATGCATAGAGAGTAGCCATGGCCTTGCTACATTTCTAAACATGTTCATACTAAAGGAAGATGTCCTTTCCCAAGGTGGAAGTAATTCCCCTGGATAATTGTTTGAAGAGAGCAAACATTTCTCTCTGCTAAATGCTCTGAGTCCCCCACTTAGCCACCAAAGCAAATAAGCACAGGTTAGGAAATATAAACAGGCATCTTTACAGACAGTATGAACAGATCATAATTTATCATTTATTAATTATAACTATCAAATCTGTTTCCAGATAGCAGCTTATGATAATAAAATATACAATAAAGTTGTTAAAATTAACAGAAAATTTAAAATATTGATAGAAAAATAAACCACCATATACTAATCATTCAGGTTAATGAGTTACTATAACAAACATTAAATTTTTTTCTGAGCCTCCTAGAGGTCAAAGCAAAAAGGGATGAATTATAAGGTTCTTATGCACTTTATGATAGGACTAATGATATTTTTGGGTGCCTGTTATGTGTCACTTTTGTTATAATATAAACCTTACAACCACCCCATGAGATTAATTCACCATCCCCATTTTAATATGAGGAAATGGAGATTCATAAAAGGAAAGTGCCTTTGCCAAGATCAAATGACTGGAAATCATAAAAGTATTTTCTCTACAGCTGAACCCTGTCTTTGTTCTTTCTAAAATCCAGGAACATGGTAATAAATTTTAACTTAGTAAAGGTGTTTCTGCAAATCTTCCTTTGATATCATTGCCTGGGAGCAAAAGGAAAGGAAAAATTTGATATTCAATCATTGTAGTCTGTAGGCAATTATGTTCCTTGCCATGACCAGCAACAGGTTGTAAACTTTTTATCAGTTTCTACTTGCCAGAATATCAGGAAGGATAGTTTGTTAGAGTGAAGAACAGTGTTTTAAATATGGTTTCTTCTTCTTAAGTGCTTTCTACATTCTAATAATAAAATTAATTAAATCCACACTCTTTGTTATTTACTCTATGTTAGTTTCCTGGGGCTGCTGTAAGAAATTTCTACAAACTGGATGGCTTAAAACAATGAGAATTTATTTCTCTCATAGTTCTGGAGGCCAGAAGTCCAAAAATTAAGATATCAGCAGGAGCACATTTCCTATTGAGGCTCAAGGTGAGAATCCCTTATTTGTCTCTTCCAGATTCTGGTGATTGTTGTCATTCTTTTACTTGTAGCTACATCACTCCAGTCTCTGCCTCTGTGATCATATTGCCTCCTCTCCTGTGTGTCTGTGACTGATATCTCTCCTTATAAGGACACCACTCTCTTTTATAAGGACACCACTTGTAATTAGGGCACACCTGGATAATCCAAGATAATCCCTGTCTCTAAAGACCCTTAACTTCATCATATTTTTGCCATAAAATATAATATTCACTTTTTTGCCATATAAGGTAATATTCATATATTCAAGGATCAGAAAGTGAATGTATCTTTGGGGTTTCATTTTTTCAGTTTGCCACAATTTTCTTTCTGGCTGCCAAAGTTTCATCTCTGTCCCACATGCAAAATACAGCCAGCCCATTCCAACATCTTCAAAAGTCTTAACTCATTTTAGTAACCACTCAAGTCCAAAATTTCATCTAAAGAACATTAGCTCAAAAGCCCCAGATCGCATCCTGTAAATAATCTAAATCAAGTATAGGTGACAGTCGGGCATGATTCCTCCTGGGGCAAAATTTATCTCCATCTATCTGTGTGTGAGACCAGAAAACAAGCTATCTACTTCCAAAATTCAATTTGAAGACAGGTATACTATAACAGTTATAGACATGCTCATTCCCAAAGAATGAAAGTGGAAGGAATAAAGGGGTTACCAGTTCTAAGCAAGTTCCAAATCCTGCAAGACAAATATCAGGTTTCTAGTCCTAGGAATAATCCTCTGTCACTCAGCTCTGTACCCCTTTGCATCCATGTCTCCACCCTTCAAAGTCATTCTTCCTTTTCCTTGAAGGTTAGCACACTTTTGTAGCTGAGTAGATTTATAAGCATGTTTCCTGTTTGCAGAATTTAGGGAGTCCAGCAGACTTTTTTCATGTTGTTTTATCTCTCTTTCTGTCCAAACTGACAGTGTTTCTCCTGAGGTAACATTCTTAAAAACTTTGTGGGTCTCCTGTGTGTTATAGATATTCACATCATTAAATAAGAGGGCCCTCCACAGATCTTTCTCGGATAATCCCATCTTAATTCCTGGCTTCCTTGAGATGATTGAGTAGATCCATGAGTCACACACCTAATCTCTTTAGCTAGAGGTTGTCCAACTGTATCTTTAGACTTCTCTCCAGGGCATGCTCTCCTAACAGTGAATCTCCTAATTTTGGCATCATTTGCATTTTGGATAGGCTGAGAATTTCTCAAATCATCAAGTTCTGGTTTCTTTTTGTTTAACAGTTATTTCTTTATCTCTTTCCTCTCTCATTTAATCATGAGCAGCAAGAAGAAACTAGGTCACACCTTCAACATTTTGTTTAGATGTCCAAGACTTTTGTTTACAAATTCTGCTTTCTATACAACTGTAGGATGCTGTTCTCCCTTATAAGGACATTGTGATGGTATTTAGGGCCCACCTGGCTATAATCCAGGATAAGGTTCACCTTTCAATATCCTTAACTTAATCATATCTTTTGCCCTTATTTTTTAATATAAAGTAATATTCACAGGTTAGGGATTAGGAAGTGGATATATCTTGAGGGAGGAGGGCATATTTTCAGCCTACCACAAGCTGCAAAATCATTACCCTTCAGGGGAAAAGCATTTTTTGTAAGATTGTACCACCAGAGGTAGATTCAATCCACCTGATCAGTTAGCTCTTGTTTAGAGGAGAGGTTTTGATTTTAAATCTGAAAGATACTCTACACATATATCAGTAGAATAGGAGAGAAAGTAAAGCATGGTTATTATTTCACGATGAGGCTCATGCCTGTTTATACCAGGGACATATGAAGATTTGAAAGTTGAGGGCTAGTGTAAGAAAATGAAGAGGCAGAGGCAGAATTAGGCAGACTGTTGCCATGGTGATACAATTAGTATCACACACACACACACACACACACACACACACACACACACCCCAAAAAAATACAAATCAGAGCATGTATTTGCAGTGCTCTGAATTTTGCTTTTTAAATTAAAAACATACCTTAGGGATCTCCCCAAATCATCATCTATAGAGTGATTCTTCATTCTTCTAATGGCTGCCTCTTATACTATTCTGTATATGTACCAAGAGTAATGTAATTCCTTACTGGATGACATTTTTCCTCCAGTTTTCTGGTTATTCTATGAACATCCTTGCATATATGTCTTTGCACACATGTGTGAGAAGCTATCCAAGTCAGGGCCCACTTATTTACCTAACTCCTTTGGCGGTGTCATTCACACCGTAATCTATGGGAATGGAACTGCCTGAAGTTGGGCCGTGTGTTAGCCTGCAAGGCTGTTCTCAGTGGCTGTGAGTGAGATACTTTCCCAGAGATGAAATGCTAGTTCTAAAGTTAGAGTATGTAAAACATGAATCTGTATTCATGTACAGTGTCATTAACAGTGAGTGCTTGTGATGACCTGTTTTCTGCATGGCTTCTAAAATGTGCAACACACAATCCTACAGAAACAGTTGCTCCTGGAGTTGTGCAACACGTGAAATAGGGTGGCCCTGATTTCTCAAAACTCTATAATCAGACTGATTTAAGTAGACTATTAAGTAAAAAATAGTATCCTCTTAAAATTTGCACTTATGTAATTACAAAGGTGTTTGAGCATGTTTTATATATTTATAATCTATTTATAGGTATGTGTGTGTCTGTGTGTAACCTCTTTGTTCATACTATTTGCCTATTTTTTTTTTTATCAGGGGAGGGTGCGAGCGCAGTCCCCCACTACCACAAATTATGCAGTTGAGTTTCCCCCATTTGGGGAAATCGCAGGGGTCAGCACATCCGGAGTGCAATGGATAAGCCTCGCCCTGAGGAAACCACCTTCGTGATCATGGTATCTCCCCCGCCAGGTAAGTATTATTTGCCTATTTCTTTTCTTGAGGGATTATAGATCAAGACTTTTATTAAAGACTTAAAGATGAAAAATAATTTATTTCAAATGTGCTGGATATAATTTTTCAGTGTCATTCTATTGACCACTAAAAATTTAGTACAGTTTGAGTTGCATGTCTTTTGTATAAATACCATTTCCATTATATGGTAATAGAAATATCCCGTGTTTCCTTTTTAATTCTTTTTAGCCTTTAGTAATTTAAGGAGTGTGTTCAATATTGATATCCAATTTTGTTTTCTTTTTTCTTCAAATGGTTTATTATTTTCTGACACCATTCACTTAATAACACACATTTTCTTACTGACTGGAAGTGTACATTTATTGTATGCTGAATTCCCATGTATATTTTAGTTGGTAACACCTTTATAACTGAGCCAAAAGAAGAGCAGAGTTATACAAAATATAATGGAGGAAAAATAATGGATTCCATTTGGGATATGTTCATATGAGTTATATTTCGGACAAACAGGTGAAGAGGTCCATTCAGTACTCAGGATTTCTGTGTTTAGCCTCATTTTAAATCAGGCCCTCATAGATATTTAGTTGCCATTACATAATCTTGGCCAAGCCAGATTTCCCCAAATATTTTGTCTTCAGTTTCATCATGGTCTGTCTCTTATGACAGGGGCTTTAAGTCTTGGCACTATCACAATTAAAAAAATTAAAAGAGTTCTAATTCCAACTGAGGTGACAGGTAATTCATCCCTAACTTTTTGTACTTTGATTTTGTGTAAAGAGAAGGTGTAAAGGAATGTGCCTTTTATGAACGGACAGTTCTGGTACCTTGGTTATTAATAATATAGCTTTATTTAATGGTAAAATAGTTTCATTATATGTGAAGTCTTAACTTGTTCCATGTAAATAACAGTTCTAGGAGGAAGCTTCCTGTGGAGAATCTATGTAAGCAGTCATCTTTTTTATAAAACTGTATTAATTTTCAGAGTTCAAAGACTTGGTTTTAACAAATTTGTTTTTATAAAGTTAGCAATGAGAGTGACCTTAGGAAAAAACATTAGGAATGTCACTTCAGCCAAGAATCCTATTGGAGAAAATATTCCCTGAAGAAACCAAAGCACTTATTAACTGTCTACTTCTAATTTAACCTTGGACTGAGTGAGAACATTGGATGATTGCCATCCTCTGAAGCCTTATCATTTTTAGTTAACGTTTAGCTAAATCTTTCTTTTGTGTTTCCCTTGTCCATTATGAAGTAAAATCTAATATCCAGCCAGTTCGTTTCTAAATTCTAATTAGGTTACCACCTGTCCTTATCACATTTACCTGAGACATCTTGGAATGGGTGTTACATATTGGGCCAATTTGTGTGAGGTATGATAGTATGCGACAATCAAGATGTATAGTGTTGCTAGGTTATAATTCTTACTTCTCAATTTTTCTAGGCATCTAGATTTTATGGGTGAATTTTAGATTCAGCCAGGAGGGATCCTAATGCTTAAAAATTATTTGGACCTAAGTATAATAGAATGGTATGGTATGAATTACGGACAAAACTCTCATTCAATGTCCAAAAGGCTGGTCCCTTGGCAAAATATTAGAAAGTTAAGAATAAACTCAGAATGAAACATGCTTAGGCCATTTTTTCAAGGCATTGACAAAAGAAAATATTTTAAGCAGGAAAATGGTTTTAGAGACTCAGACACAAAATTCCAAAATTAAGTGTAAAGTATTAATTGTGAAATTGGCATACACAGCGTTGGTCATAATTGGATTTATAGATTTGTAACTTACACTGGGTCTTCCTTCTTGGATATATTTTATACAGCCCCACACAATGCTAACTGAACACCTCCCCATTGACACATCAGGCCAGGGAGAGCCTCTGTGAAAATCTTTAAGAACAGTGTTAAATAATGCGGCCTTGACTTGTAATGCTAGAATTTAGCAGCTGCTGCCAACAGAGTGAATGGACCAGTAGTCCATTCACTACATCCAGTAGTGTACCTTTAGGTAGTTTCCAATCATGAGGTTTTATCATCTCAGGAAATGAGATGGCTCCCTGAGCAAACTGTCCATGGACCAAATGGATGAAACGCCAAACTTTCGAACAATAGCAATGTCTGAAAATTGTGTTAGCTGAGATTCAAAACCCTCAACTTCTTCATGAGACCTACCACTGCTGCAGGTTCATGAGGAAGGTTCTCAGAGAGGAATGTACACTCTCATTATTGAGCTTTGACCCTTGGTGAGCTGGACTAAGATATGGGAACTCCTTTTGATCCTCTGGCTGTAGGCCTTGGCTACAGCAGAGTTGGTATCACCTTAGAGCTTTTTGCCATCTTGGAACTTTCTCCTAAGCCCATGTGGTCAAGCTTTTTACCACTCTCATAGTGAGGAAAATCCTAGAAAATCTAACCCAGGGGTTGTAACCCAAGGAAACAAGCCATTTTTTTATCTAATTGTGTATCCACTCTTTAAAAATACCAGTCCATCCCTAGGGCTTCTTGGAAGGTTTTTTTATTTTGTTTTGATTTTTTCTGACAAGTAAATGTCAACTCTAAGGTTGGTTGTGATTACAGTTAGACTAGGGAATCTGCAGCAGGCTCTGCAAGCCATTCTTTACCGTTCTTTGTGAGTCATTTGCTACCTGCATGGTCAGAATTCTCCCCTTTCCCTTAACTCCTTCCCATTTTTGGTGGACTGGGCGGGGCGGCGGGGGGGAGGGTGTGGGAGTGGGTTGTTGGTAATGGTAGACTGTCCTGGCTGAGTTCTGAGGAACCACTGTTAAGAATTCTACTTGAGGTAACACAGGCCTGGAGAGCCAGAGGGCAAGCCACAGCAGAGTCTGTGAGCAATTTTTAATTAGATTTTTAAGAAGACACAATACAAACACAACCCCAAGGGCCAGTGGCTAGATCCAGCTCTGGTTGAAGAACCGCGAGTTTGAGGCCAGACAGAGCTCAGCTCAAAGGAGCAGCTTCTTGAGAACAAGACACAGGATTCTGAGCAATTGTTGCATGTGACTTTGTGCATCTCTGGCTGACCTTTGTTACTTTCAGTGTGAGGGGAGGTTGGACTTGTTTCAGGGCTCCATGACAATGCAGAGCAGGGCTGCTATTGTCCAATTTGTGGAGGAATAGGGTAGGTTTTTTAAAAAAGATAATAATAGTAACTACACTTATTTAGAGCTTTTTATGTGACAAATATTCTAAGCAATTATTACATGTACACACTTGCTTTATCTTCACAACAACCCTCTGAGGCTGGTACTATCAGTGTTCCTAATTTACAGATTCATCCAGAGGCATAAAGAGTATGTAACAGAGTCAGGATTCAGTCTAAGGTCCCTGAGTGTGTACCCTTAACCACACTCAGCTATGCTGCTTCTGATCACACAGGGAATGCGTATTTATGAGTTGATTTTGTGGTCAGCTGCAGGTGACGATCAGATGACTCTGGACAGACTGAGTGGATAATATCCCTCAAAACCTTCACTGCAAAGATATGACTGCTAAGAAGTTAAAATGGGTCTGCCAGCCATTTGTAAAATGCTCTTTCAAGGTTAGTTAGGTTGCTGAGCAAAACACAAGAGTACTGGCCCAACTAGACCACTGGAAACGTTGCCTTTTGTATCCTTAAGAGTCCTGAAGAGTCTGAACAGTTTCTACTTGCTGAACTGTTCACTTGAGGAGAACATCTATGTCTCATTCATTCATTCCTTCCTTCAACAACATGCATTGACCTTCACTTTATGCCAGGCTCTATCCAGGATGCTGGCGATGAAAAATGGAAAGATGTGGTCCCTGCCCTCATGTAATTTAAATACAGGCAAGAGATGTGCCATCAAACAATAGGATGACTCCTTTAAAGATATGTGCGCAAACCTGAAGGAGATCACCAGAGAAATGGCACAGCCAGCTTCTTGGGGAGTCAAGGAAGCCTTCTCAGAAGAGGTAGCATTTGAACTGAGGCTTGAAGAATGAATGAATTTGTCAGGCACACAGGCAGGGAGGACTCTTCCAGGGAGAGCATGTGTAAAGGCAGGGCACCAGACCAGAGCGTGGTCCACTAGAGAACTGTAAGTAGTTCAATATTTCTGGCTTGCAAAGAGCAAGGCAGGAAATGACAGATGAGACTTGACATTTCGGCAGTGGCCAGATCTTGAAGTTCTTTGTATGCTAAGCAAAGGAGTTTACAGTTTACTCTGTAGATACCAGGGAAGCATTTTAAGGGCTTTAAGCCAAGGTTTCACAGTTAGATCTTTTATATTGGAACTATCAGTTGGGCAGCAAGCATAGAAGATGGATTGGAGGAAGCTGATAGTAGAGGCCGGGGGCCGGTAGGAGTATGAGGCTGCCCTCCATTGGGGAGTTTCTTGGCATTGGAAATAGTAATAGTCTTGAGCTTTCCCAAAGGGTCTGGGTAAGACCTCATGGAATTGCAGAGTTCAGTGTTGGGTGAGATCAGCAAGGAAGTACAAGGAAAGAATGGTGACTCAGTCTGAAGGGTGTACAGTTTAATAGGTATAGTTTGGAATTTGAGCCAAATGTGTTTGTAGTGTGGAAAGTCTTCTCAGATGTCCGCAGACATTCAGATAACAGCCATGTCATCCTCAAATGCAAAATTTCACTTTAGTAGCACTGCCATTTTCATCACGATGCCATAGACTCTACTTAGAGGTCAAACCAATTCATAGTTCAGTTATTTTTTTAACCTCAACAAGTTGCCTTTGGATTGTGTGCAAGTGAAATTTATAAATAAGATCTACACTGCAGTGTTTGTATATTAGTGTGAAATGTATTCTCACTTATTTCAGAGAATTATTGATCAGATTACCTGTAGTTTTGTGATATTTCTGCCACAGCTTCCCTGAGTTGGTCTACAGGAGGTTTATTCCTCTCCTCTCACAGAGCATTTTTCATACACAACCACACACAATATACCCACACACATCTCAAAAGTACATTCATACATATAAAAGATGAAATGTTGTCTATG